GTCCCCTTTTGTCTTAGTGTCAGAACCTTGGAAAACTAACTACAGTGCAGATGGGACACGATAACTCAGGACTGTATGCCAAGTGGCTTGTGGAGTGCGTCGTGGTCCGTAACGAGATCACTGGGCACACCTACAAGTAAGTAACCATTCACAGCCAAAAAACTAGGAACAGGTTGAAAAGATGATCTTCTTTGTAATCAGCACCCTGGGCTTGATGTTAGGTTTCCATGTGGCCGCTGGTTGGGGAAAGGCGTGGATGATGGAAGTCTGGAGAGAATACTTGTTGGGGAGTTGATGACCCCCACCACGGAGAACGACGAGAGGATGTGCCGCACACCACCTATGCAGCAATCTCCTGGGATGATGAGGAGATTTGTTACCATCTCACCAAGCAGCAAACCAAGTAAGTTAATCATCCTCATAACTCCTATTTGACCATTTATTAAACACTTGTTTTCTTCTGCTGAGTTGAATTAATCTGGTATTGTAAGCCACGGTGCCTTATCCAATGTTCACATCCGCACCAGTTAAAGAAGAAAAAAAAATAAATTGATGAAAAACAAAATGAAATGATGGCGATTGTGCTTTTTTTCTTTCTTTTTTCCTCCCCTTTCAGAGTTAAACACAGGCCAGATCCAGGAGGGGGTGGGAGAGGCCATCAATGGGATTGTAAAGCACTTCCACAAACCGGAGAAGGAGGTGAGAGACAAGCAGTCTAGACAAGCCTGAACACGTAGTTCTATTATTTATCAGAAATGAAGAAAAACATGCCAGTCCCACAACGCCTTCAGTTACTCTGATATTTATTTAATTTTTTTTTTTAACTTCTTTTTGTTGTTTACTACCTCAGTGATTCCAAAAATCCCCCACTAATAATTACAGTGTACTTGGGGAGGTTTAGTAAATATCTTCAATTAAAAGGAGATGTTACATGAGGATTATTGAGGAGCATCTTGATTATAGGGTTTATATCTAATTCATTGTAGTTGAAGAACAAAGGACCTTTATGGATAAAGCCCCTTTATTCGTACTCCACCTTTTTCAGCAGAACAAAGCAGCTTGTTGAGAACTGAAAGTGTCTAAATCTTTCACTACATCCAGATTACTTCTGCAGTCATTTGTTGCAGTTATGTTTCACAAAGTTGGATCTTTAAAAACCTTAAACACACCTCCTCGTGTAAAATATATGGTTTTATATTGCAATACATTGGGTCGTAATGAATTGACTTTTGAATTAAAGTGAAGGGGCATGCTTTGTTCTCTAAATCCTCTCCAACTTCATGCCCTTTGTGCCCTCCACAGAGGGGCAGCCTGACTCTGCTGCTGTGCGGGGAGTACGGTCTCGTCTGGGCTCTAGAGCAAGTTTTCCTGCACGGTTTCAAGTCCCCTCGACTTTTCAAGAACATCTTCATCTGGGACTTTTTGGGTAGGAACTTCAGCTTTCTAGAAACCTGCATCAAAAGGCTGTTATTAACGGAAACAAAATGAAAAAATATGAAGCTGACAAAATGAGAAGAAAACGGCAGAGAAAAACAACAAAATGCATTTAAAATACATTCAATAAAACAAAACCTTACATTTGGGAAATAACCCCCTTCAGAAAATAATATGGTATTCAACATTTCAAAAATAAATGTTTTCTAAATTAACTTTAAATCGGGCTTCATATTTACAGCGCTTTAGTTTATATTTTTATAGCCTTTTAATTTTTGGTTTTATTTATTTGTGAAATGTTGCTATTGATTGTAAAAACATTTTCCTTACAAGTAATGGCAGCTGAGGTAAACTATAACATGTAATTTATTTACTGGTTTCAAAGCGTTTTTTTATAGGTTGTTGTTTTTTTAGTATATTGACCTGACCATGGCTTCATAGTCCAGTTAAAATACCATGAAGCTCTCCTCTGTTTACAATAAGTGTTTTAAAAATTTCTATTTTTTTATAAGCATTTTTTTTGTCTTGTAATTTTCTATTAGATGCTATTTTGTTTTGATAATTTAACCATTCTCGCTGCAGCTGAATGATATTTGAAAAGGTCTGACTAAACCCCTCAAAGTAACAAATGAGTTAGGGTTTGTGTAAAACAGACTCTGCAAAACAATAGATTAAGCAACAGCTAAAAACGGGTTGGTTATATATCTGGATGTTTGTGCAGCGAGTAACGGTGTTTACATGTTTATCGTTGAACAGAGAAGGCTCAAGTATACTTTGAAAGTGCTGAACAACGGGAGGCGACTCCAGATGAAAACTGGCAAACCAGAGTGCGCCACTTCTGTCGATTCATGCGGGCCATCAACAGCACGTCGAGAAACATCGGCAAGGACGGAAAGTTCCAGATGCTCGTCTGTCTGGGAGCAAGGTGGGGCGCTGGATGGAAACAAGGATGCTTGTTTCTTTTTCTGGCTTATTCAAAGGTGTTTCGTTGACTCTGTTTTTTCGTTTTTTTGAAGGGACCATTTGCTGCATCACTGGATCGCTCTGCTCGCAGATTGTCCAATCACCTCCCAGATGTACGAGGACGTTGCACTGATTAAGGACCGCTCACTGGTAAACTCCCTGATCCGAGTGCTGCAGACTCTGCAGGAGTTTAACATTACCTTGGAGGCTTCATTAATCAAAGGCGTTGGCATCTGAAACCAAACCACTGTCTTCATCAGTCGTACCCAAAAAGGAGTATCACTGAGGACCACTAAGAAGAAAAAGGAATAAATGAACATTTTTTATGCAGGAGCAGACTTGAACAAAGAACACTTTCTGGCTTAATAAAGCTACTTTCACATTTGCCATATGTTAAGTGCAATGAGCCTTTCAAGATTTGTTATTTTTATCCTGGATGGTGATAACGATGCCATTAGATGTTAAAGAATTATGTTTTCTATTATGGACCATGGTTTTCACAATGAGGGTTGACCTTGTGCTCTGTTTTACTGAAAGCTCAATATTTTCATTGTTCCCGTGACTCGATGACAGCAGTTATATTTAAGGGAAAGCTAGGATTAAAACTGTTAATATATTTTGAGATAAAACAGTATTATTTTGTTAAATCAGTGATGTTGCTTGCTCTGTTGTCAAATCTGATTTTTAAATGTCATAATGCAGAGTTTAAAGCAAACGGTGTAGAAGTATGCTTTATAAGTATGCGTATGGCAGGGTGACTCATGGAGACATAAGGGAATTTAAGTTTGAGTCTTTCCCAGGCAAACATACATGTATGTATGCAAATTTCTACATGGAACGCCTTCACCTGAAGAAAAGGTCATCCTAGCATGATGAGACTATGCGGCTCTAGCCTGTGCCCAGTCACAAACGGTATGATCAACTGGATTCGGGAAGATCAAACCTAGTCTTGTGCTCTAAGAGATGCTTGACACTTTTATTTTTGCAAAGTGGTTCACAACTTCAGCCTTCAGTGTATATACCTCCCAGCAGCCCTTTCATATTACCATCATTGCAGCCCTTACACTACATGTACTCTGTTCTTCTAACTACAATCTGATGAAAGGAGTCGTTCCAGTGCTGACTTCTGACCTCCTAATAATTGTGTGAAGAGCTCAAAGGACTGTTTTTATTTCCACACCCTTGATCCTAATTTTTATTTTATTTTTGTCACCATGGTTTCTGGCTATGCAATACCCACAAGAGAAAGACTGCGATTTTACTGTTCTCTCCCCATCCACATAGAGATTAACTTTTAACTTGCAGAAAAAGAGTTTTGACCAACTTCTTTTTGTGTGCCAATGGCTTCTGGTATGACTGTGTTGTACTCATCTGTGTACGACCCATATGAGCATCTTGGGAGATATATATTTTTCTTTTCCAATACAGTTGTACATTTATCAACATACTTGTGTAGTGTTTACTAAGTGAGCAACCATGTACAGTGTAAAAAAAAAAAATTAAGAATAAAGCATCTGTAAAGTATTTTTCTGGAATTGTTTTCTTTAAGAAAGTACTTTACGTTTGGCGAATCTGCGGTTGCCCTTTGTGTTCAATTACTTGGTGATTCTGTAGCTGCCTGCAAAGTTTCCTCAATAACAACTCATTTTGTTCATTGTAAGTTACAAAAAGGAAGACTTAGACTTATAAGTTTTGGTCTGAGAGAAATATGCTTGATAAACTGTTTGTGCTCGAGTAGCTATATACTGGAAATCTTTTTATCTACAATGGTTGAAAAGAAAGAAGCAGAATAGTCACTGTGGCTCTGTGCGGAGAAAAAAAATTGTTTTTATGCACAACTATTTTTTGACATACAGCTGTTTTAACTATGTGCCAACATATCTACTTTTTTATTCATTTTAAGGGTATTATAATTTGAAATGTGTGCTTAAGCTTTCTAAGAATTGGTTTTACGGGCCCTAAATGATTAAAACATAAAATATGAGGCTGCTTTGTTGAATTTTGGGGCTGTTTGAATCCAGCTATTTGCCGTAATTTAACTTAAGCGACCAAAACACTGCTAAATAAGTGTCTAACAATAGCTAATTAGCACCTGTATCTTTGAATGTGACATCACTTGTAGCAATTTAACTTTAGAGGCGTTTATGAGCAGTTATACTATCCGGTTAATGTGCTTCCTCAGCTGTGAAAAGGTAAACAAAGTCGTTCGCGCCATGTCGGACTGCTGTTTTTCTTTGAACACTTGGACCAGGGGGATTATGGGACTTTGAGTTCATAACGGGGTCCTCCTCCAATCAGATGCCCGCGTATTTTTCCACTTATTCACTACGCCTCCCATCATGCATGTTATCTTGAGAGTGAGACGGGGCGGCGGTGATTGGTCGAGACTAGGTTCAAACCCAACGGTTACACTCCTAATATGGTCTGTATCCGCTCACCCTTTCATTCCAGCTTTTTATGCAAAGCACATTCTAATGACCAGCTGTATGCAGCAGTAGTAAGAGCATGCGCAGTGAGTGAAAAGAAGACGGCGAAGATTCAAAGTTTTTGTTCAGTAAGTACACTCTTATTTTCTTTTTACACGGTTTACAATAGTTTGACTTTAACAATTTTGTTATACTCTGACCGCGTGGTGACGTTGTAAGGTTCAGGTAACCTGACGTGTGTGTCCGGCGTGTTTGTGGCGTTAAATGTGGAAAGACTCCTGTCGACAATGGGATAACGTGGAAGTGAACGAGAGCGTGGCCTCGACGGCTAGCAGTTATGCTAACAGCTAACAACAATGAGCCATATTTGGCGCACTCGCAGGCGAAAAGTTTGAATTTAAAGGGGAAGAGGATGTCCACCTTAACTTTGCGATTCTTAATAAAGAGTAAAGCGCGCACACGAAGCGCGTCCAAATCGTAGCCGTTGTTCAGGTTATTTAATATCGCGGTAGCTTTTTGTCTTTGATTTCAGAAAGTGCAGCTGCCCGCTTTTTGTTTAGGGCAGCCGCTGCATATAGACCTGCCGCTTAACGACGTCTCGCTGCAGATACATCCACTGTCTCTAAACGTGGGAATTTAGCCGCTTCTTTTGTTTATGTGCACATTTGTGTCGAAAATTAACGCTCTTTTTTAATTACTGTAATCGCGCTCCAGTAGGATCCCGCTGACTACTTTTTAAGTTACGATCCTTGTTGAGACACGTGAGTTTTATTAACCCGATATAAAGTTCATATTTTTATAGCGTAAACTGATCTTATAACTGCGTATTACTGCCATTGTTTTGTGTTTTGGTTTAGTTTGACCGTAAATTCGGCGGTAAAGTAAAACTAAAGTGGCATTTTTTTAATTCTTAAAAAAAGTGTTGTGTCTTTAGATATTTTTGAGCTTTTTAACCTTTAAAAGCTCACTTAAAGAAGTGTAATGTGTGCTCTAAGGATTCATGAATGGCTGAGAAATGTTTGCAGTTTATTTGTGTGTCTACGGACCGCCCCCTTCCCAATAGCAACTGTCTGCAGACATCTGAACTGACTTTAAAACTGCGAGCGCTGCAGCGATCACACGCCTCTTCTTTTTACCTTCCAGGTGTTTTCTTTCATTGGCACGCGCTCACCAACAGATTCAGGATGTTTGGCTTTCATAAGTCAAAGATCTACCGCAGTAATGAAGGCTGTTGCATTTGTAAAACCAAGTCCTCCAGCTCACGCTTCACGGACAGCAGCAGATATGAGGAGACCTTCAAGATGTGCTTTGGGTAAAACCTTTTATTCATTTTATATGATGGAATTGGAGCTCTATGACCATTTCCTACAGTTCACAGACCATTATCTGACTTTGTGTGTCGATTTAAGGCTGTCTGAAGATCGTGTTGGAGACATTTGCAATGCATGTGTGCTGCTGGTGAAGAGATGGAAGAAGCTGCCTCATGGCTCCAAGAAGAACTGGAATCATGTAAGTGAAATGTCTTCTGCTTAGTCCATGATGTGGTAACGCTGTGCCGCTGTGTTTTCAGGCATGAGTTTAAGTTTTGTTGCTGGATTAAATTGCTTCTCTTCAGGTGGTGGATGCCAGAGCTGGTCCGGGTTTTAAGGTGACAAAGCCCAAGAAGATAAAAAACAGTGATGGAAAGAAAAAGAGCAAGCTGAAGAAGCTTCATAAGTTTAAGAGACAAAGTGAGTGGTTAAAACATGGATACTACCATTTGAAGATTTATTTATTTATTTCAGACATACAAGTATATAATTAGGACAGTATATGTCCATATAACCTAAACAGTCTAAAAAAGGGTGTATTGGCAGAATCCAATGCCCCCCCTCCAAAGCCAATTTACATTGGACTAGACAGCAAAAGATAAAAAGATGGCTACCATTTATAATGCATACCAGTGTATGATTTTAGGAAAAATTATTATTCTACAATAATATTTTTTATGAAAAAGAGAGAAAAATCCTGGACTTTTATTTGCATTTTGTGAAGAATAAATGTTCAAAATTATTGTTTAATTGTTTCCTTATAGCTCTGATGCTCCTTTTGATAATTCTCCAATATTTGCTTCTATGCTTTGCAGGATATGCTACCTGTTAAACATTTTTTACATTCAGGAAAAGAAATCAGAAATGGTAATTTTAGAGTTCTGTAGAATTGTTTTAAAAGCTATGTACATTTCCTGACAAAACAATTTGCCAAATCAGTGCTTTTTAAGGTTTAATTTGGATCTCCTCAGACTTTAAGAGTAATCTCTAGCAGCATCTAGTGGCTAATATTGATATCTCATGAAATATATCTAGTTTTTGGTGTTTCCAATTCAGTCGCCATGTACTTGTTACCTTGTGGAGACAAGTACATGGGGACCAGTGGTCCCAATGCATAGTTCTCTTTTTGTGTTGATGGGATTAGACTACGGTGTGCATTTAGGTTTAGTTTAGGCTCAAATATGTGTTGTTAATGGTTTGGGTTAGGCTAAAGAAATTAATGGAATTCAATTGAAATCCTCTGTTAGGATAGTAGGACAAATGTATAAATGTAATTTTTTTTTTTTTAAATACATAATTATAAAATGAAAAGGTCGCAAAGTGACGGGTCTGATCATAATAGTTATTAATTATTTTTTCTTCCCCAAAATAATTATTTCTCCAGTTGTTCATTAAAAATGTTTTTATTTGTGTTTTACATTTTTAAGCAGACTCAGATGCTCACAGCACGACCTCTAGCATGTCTCCTGCCCAGTCTCCCAGTCACAGCAACCAGTCAGATGATGGTTCAGACATTGAATCCAAACAAAGACGTTCATCTCCTTCAATCTTTTCCTTCCTGGATCGTTCTTACTGGAAGAGGTAAGACTTCTTACAACCCTTTTTATTTAAAAAAAAAAAAAAAAAAAAATATATATATATATATATATATATATATATATATATATATATATATAAAAAATCTGAATAGTCAAAATAAAAGCAAACAAATCTTTTATCTTCCTTCATTAAGACAAAAGGTGTGCTGTGGAATTATCTACAAAGGTCGGTTTGGAGAAGTGATTATTGATCCCCGACTTTTCAAGCCTTGCTGCAGCTCAAAAAAACCGAAGACACCATCACAGGTGCCCACACTCCAGCCGCAGCTCCCAGAGGATTTGAAAGAAACTTGGTGAATTGTTTAGTCAGACCTCCCTCTCATTTATGGGGCTATCCATGGCATCCCCCTGGATTTGTCTCCAGTGGCAGACCTCATTTTCATTCCCCCTTAGATCAGTTAATGTCCTCCTTTGCTATATTCATTTTGTATGGTTTTTTTGTTTTTGTTTTTTACTTTTGTATAGAGTTGAGCTCTTTTTCGACAGAAAAAACAACTTTTGGGCATTAGTGTTATTTATAGGGTAAGGATGAAATTTTGTTGGATTAAATTTTTGTTTCCAAATTTCTTATTTTTGTATTGAGTGATCCAGATTTGTAAATAATATTTTTGTTTTTTTGTTTGTTGTTTTTTTACATCAGGACTGCTTTATTTTTTTTTTTTTTTACAACTTGTTATACTGTAATTAATGGTATGAAAGACACCAGCTATTTCCAATACACCAGCTTCTTGTGTGTTGAAGAGATCCTTCAACATTTGTGCATACATGTTTTTGTCTTTCATTAGCTCTCTAGGGTAAATATTTTTCTTAGTTTGCATATTCTTTTTGATAACACACAGGGACCATTAGCAAGTCCGTTATATGTAAATGTGCTGTTTTGTTTTTTAAAGGTGTACAGATTAGACGGCTTGGACATGAACAGCTGTAGCCACCGGTATGAAACACTCCGTTTTGTTCAGCAGTTTCTGCACAGTAGATCGTACATGCAGTATGTCCCTCTGCTTGTTGGATTGACGGTTTTATTTATTCCTTTTGTACAGCCTCCAATGAAATTACGTTGCATGTTGTAAGCAAATTTAAGAAAAAAAAAAGGATTTTGTAAATACAATGTTTTGGCTCACGGGTTTTTTTCCCAAAAAAAAAATGAATGAAATGGCAAACCACTACATCTAAAAGGTGCTGAAAGCATGTGTTTTTTTTTTTTACACAAAACAGCCAGTTTGATCACGTATTTTCTCAGGTATGTTTCTCGAGGGGGTTGCATTTTTTTTTATTTATTTTTTTTATAAAGCTTGTGTTCTGTGCAGAGGTAAACTGCAGGAATAAAAGAGAAACTTGCCTGCAGAATCAGTGAATATGCTTGACACCTGCGGTTCTTCTACAACTTTTAATGCTCTAAGAGGAGCATGTTCATCAAAAGAAGCAATTGTCAAAAGTTCAAACTATGCAGACATTTTGAATGTGAGAATTGCTCTGGAGGTGTCTGTCACCGTCTAGCGTGATGGATCCTCTTTTTTTTATAACCAAATTGGCTCTATTGTTTTTAGCAATAATGTTACATCATCACCAGTCAATGTCTCAATGTATATATGCCATGTTAAATATATTGCTTATATTGCACATTTATTGCCATGGTGTATACTGTTTCAGTGCTACGATGACAAAGGTTGCATTTTTTTTTTTTTTTTTTTTTACTGAAATTGAAATAATTGACAGGCACTGCTCTGTAAAGTTGCTTGAAATATATAAACTGTATTCTGCAGCAGGGTAGTTAAATGCTGAAAAAAATATTATTAAAAAGGGGGTAAGCTGCTTCCTTTTGTAAGCTGGAAAATAAGCTGTTTTTTTATTATCTTTAGGAAGTTGCTGGGTTTTTGCAAGGTACATTTTGGGATGTAAGATGTGCCTTATTTAATGACCTGACCTTTTTCAATATAATTCGTATGTAATTTATATTTATTTATTATACAACCATTTTTTTAAAACTGAAACTTTGAGAAAACTGGTGTTGAGCCTTTCGGGGGGGAATCTGTTTCTAATTTTCTGCACTTCCTTTGAACATGCAATGTATGTTTTTATATGCTTTTCGTATACTGTACCATAAAGTAGATCTGTATAATAAAAATTAAAAAGTCTCTTCCTGTGGTGTTTCTTTGTACTTACATATTGTAGGCATACTTGCTACAATAGAGAAAAATAGAGAATATTCATTTCAGCCTATTTTGTATTTTTGCTACTATCATGAAGTATGATGCGCCATAATAAAGTAATAGGTTTAGACTGTTAAATCACCTGATTGTCCACATGTTTTGATCCTCAATGCCTACAGGGGGCGCACTTTGTCTACTGATAGCCGTGTTCACCTTTTAGAAGGGGTTTTATGTAATCATGCTGATCCCAGGAACTAGACGTTCATTTAGTCCATTTCTCCAACAGTAACACTTATAAAAATACAGCAATCCCAGTCTGTTGGCCCACAGAAACAAAATTACTGAACAGTTATAAAAATGAAAGACCTATAAACCATCTTGTTCAATTAAACTCACTGTAATTTTTTTTTTTTTTTTTTTTTTTTTTTAGAAAAATTTATTCAAAAAAGTTAAATACATGCTTAAACATGTAGTCTATACTTAGAACCTGCTTTAATGACAATTGTACTACGGTCATTAAAGCAGGTACTGGTACTTTTATGTGAGCAGATTTTAAGTTGTGCTGAAAGAGGGAAATCTCCATTAAGATGCAGGAAAAAAAAACAAGCTAAAGGCTATAACCACAAGCAGGCTTAAATTGGAAGGCTGCCATGGTTGCCATGACCCAGATAACTGAGAATGTACACAGGCATAAAGGCTGTAACATTTCTTTGTAGATGGCTGCAATGATTTTTGACCTAATCAAAGCACCATCAGACGAAATCCCATCTTCTCACTGAATCTATTTAATTTTTATCTCTTTGATCTTCCTGCAGATTAAGATACATTGATTTCCAAAAATAAAATAAAAAACATAATCTAAAAAGAGTTGTTTGTACCACCTAACAAACATCCATCCTTTTTCTCCCTCCAGATTGGATGTTTCTGATTTCCTCTCTGCTTTAGAAGGGGAATGGGACATTAAGCGAAGCTTTTATGTCATGCATTCATCCATGTGGCGTGTCTCCTCTAAGCACAGAAGCAGTCCAACCGTATTAAACATCGTGTAAAACTCTCCAATGTGCATTTTTCCCGATTGTCTCTCATATGTATAGTAATTTTTGCAGCATATTGTATTAAAAATGGGACACAACATTAAAATTTTGTTTCTTTTCAATAAACATGCCTTTTTTATTCTCTCTGTGGAAAAGAAAACATTTTGATTGCAAACAAAAACATTTTACTCAGGTACATTTTTTTAAGGTGAAGAAGCGGTAGGACACCTTTGTCTGAATAGTTCAGGTCATCCTGTAGGGTTAAAGCAGCATTCCAATGAGATGAAGATCAGGGTGTTTACTCTTCCCAGGACTTTGAATTTCTTATTTCCCATCTAGCCCGAGATAGGTTCACTCATCATTTTTGTTCATTGGCATGCTACAGGGTACACTTTCACTTTATCTCAAATGTGTAACTGTTTTAAAGCTTCATAAAGAATCCTGTGACACATACAGTAATTGTAGATTCCCCAAACCATGACACTTATACCTCCATGTTTAACTTTTATTTCTTTTCTTAAATTTTTTTATTTAATCAGTGTTTAAATTAATTGGTTTTTGACAGAAAAAAAAGAAATCTTTGCAGAAATTCTTGTCTATGCACTTTGGAAAAAGTTAGTCTAACCTTTTTGTTTTGGTTAAAGAGCAAAACACCTCAGATGAAAGCTAAACTTAACCAGTCCCTTTCTGATTGTGCTGGCATGTGCCTTTAGATAAACAGTAGCAAGAGCTTGCTGTAGGTATAATGATGTTATTTGAGGTTTTTGAGACTCCTTTAATTTACCTTCCTTGAATGGCCAGCTCTGAGCACATTGAATTGCTTCTTTAGATGTCCTACGCTTGGGAGTGGTGGCTTAGTGGTTAGAGCTGGAAAGTCTGTTAGTTCACTTGTTTGAATCCCACAGGATGCCACCCTGAGTGAGACCCTTTAGCTTGAGAATTCTACCTGAAAGCTGCACACAAATCTACTGTCCCTCAATGGATGTCTATGACAGATTTAACTGAAAATCTGCAATAAGACTGATATTGTAGAATATGTCCCACCTAAAAATCTTCTGTCTGAAGGACTGAGAAGCAATATTGTTCTCAATGGGTTGAATTTCACTTCAACTGCCAGGAGCACACCAAACTAAATACCAGTTTAAACAGGATAAAGCTTCAAAATGCAGGGGAATGATGATAATTGTAGATATTGTAATTGTATATATGTAGGTATGTATGTACCAGGTTTCAGACTCTCAGTCCTTCTAAGACTGTAATTAATGTAAAATATCATGTGTGTGGAATATAGGCCTACATTAGTATTTTATTCATTATTCATAAATTGAACATGTGTTGCTTGTGAACACTCATTTCCACTACTGTCATTTTTTAACCTTTGCAACCACAGCAGTTATCATTTGACAGAAGAGCAGTGTTAGCCCCATGAAAGGAAGGAAAACAAGAACAAAGTCAAAGTAAAGTTTTGCAAAACCATGAGTACGTTTATTGGTCTTCATTTCCAAACACCTAATTTCCTTTGACACAAATAATGAAAAAATAACCATTATAATAGTAATAATTGAACTTTATTGAACTCACATTGGAGAAATTTACATCTGAATTAAACCCATCCCCTTGGGGAGCAGTGGGCTGCCATCGTGGGGTGCCAAGGGAGCAATCCTGGGTCAAGGATCTTACTCATTGGGAACCTCAGGACTCCAAGCTCTATGCACTAACCACCACTCCCCATATATATATATATATATATATATATATATATATATATATATATATATATATATATATATATATATATACAGGGGTGGATTTAGAAACTTTGGGGCCCTAGGCAAAGTCAGGCAGGGGGTCCCTCGGACCTTGGAAGGCAGCACATAAAACATTATACAGATACAGAAATTTTAACAGAATAGATATACATTATTTGTTATACGTTTTTTCCCTCTCTTCTTATCCCTTTTCTAGCTGTTTTCCTCTCTAAGTTTTGTACTCAGCTGACTTTTCATGCTGTCTCAAAAGGAATGAAAGATTTTTTCCAAGGAGCTGATTGCTCCTCCCTGTGTTTCCAAAAAGTAAATAACCCAGTCATTCACTGTAGACAAGCCATGATCTGTTTATCTGTTCTCCATTTTTCATTTGGATGAAATAATAGCTGCATGAATCATAACAGCAGACAAGATAAAGGAGAGCAGGAAGCGGGGTTACCAATCCATTTGCACTGGAGAGCAGAGTTAGCTACTTTCATACAATGTCGCCAAACTCTCCAGTAGCAGACAAAAAGTCGGTAGATTTGGCGCTTTTTTGAAATAAAAGCGCTGGAGGTGTCAGAAAAATCCTTAAATATAGCAACAAAAGCTCTAAGTTGGCAACACTGCTAAAATGCAAAAATATGGAATAGCTGTATGAACCATACATGTAAACAGAGTGTACATGTATATATATATATATACTCATATAGCCTCAGAAGGCTGAGGTTTATTCATCCTCTGAAGGCTTCATCACGCACCCCCACGCCACTGCCCCCTTCCCTCCCACCTTTTTTTTAACCAGTGCATGCACGCACGCGCACGCCTTTATTTTCTCTCTCTCTCTCTCTCTCTCTCTCTCTCTCTCTCCCTCCCTCTCTCCCTCCTACTTCCAGTCACTCTCTCCTTGCTCCTTCCCCAGGCTCTCTGTGAGGCGGATTGACAGGCGAGAATGAAAATGAGACGGACGCTCCGCAGCCACCTCACTGCGCCCGCGTCCTTTTGAGAAGATCTCTAAAAACTTCCACCTATCTCACCATGGGAGCTATTTGGGCTGCGAGGGACTTCTGTTTGTTTTTTCTCTTGTTAAATAGTCGTCAAAGCATAGCGCTTCCAGAGACTCGAGGTGGGATTGTAGTGAGTGTTTGCATGTGTTTTGGTTTTTTTTTTGTTTGGAGAACTCTGCATCTTACGCACGTCTTTAAAACTCTGTTATACTCCATAAAAAAAGAGAAAAGTTTTGGTATTGTTTGAGAAATCCGTGAGGTTATCTGTTAGATATTTTCATTCTCATTTCCGCTACTAACATAAACATAACAGATTCTCCAGGCTGTTGTTAATGACATACTGAATCCTTTTCTTTCCACGTGTTTTCGTAAAACCGAACAGATTCCTGCGCAGAGGGGAGTGATGGCTGTCACATTGATGCTATTTGTCAGACTACCCAAGACTCATATAAGTGCACATGTAAAGGAGGGTTTAAAGGAGATGGGAAACAGTGTGATGGTAAGTTTTCTATACTTTTCTATAGACTTCCTCCTATAACCTGTTGGTAAGCATGTATTATGTGACTTTTACCCCTCAGATATTGATGAATGTGACCTGGAGTACAATGGTGGTTGTGTGCATGAGTGCAACAACATACCAGGAAACTACCGCTGCACTTGTTATGATGGATTCAATCTGGCCAATGATGGACACAACTGCCTGGGTAAGATCCCCATTCTGTGACAGGGAGCCCTGCCTCATCTAATCTGATCTTTGAGGAATGCATGTTTGTGTGGGCGGTGTTTTGAAGTCTCTCAGAGTCATTTAAAATGCATTAGCCTCATCTGCAGTGTTTATAACATCCAAACCTGGATTTATATAGTGCATAATGTTTGTGATGAAAACAAATCTTCTCTTGAAAGACTGTAAAGTGTTTTTTTTTTAACACAGCCTTGCCTCTGTCCCTTAGATGTGGATGAATGCATGTTCAATAATGGTGGGTGCCAACACACTTGTGTCAACACTGTGGGTAGCTACGAGTGCCGCTGCAAAGAGGGCTTCTTCCTCAGCGACAACCAGCACACATGCATCCACCGCTCCGTCGGTGAGTTTACATCTTTTACAATTTGTCCCGTCCCAGCTCATTTACAGATATAAAACTGAGTTGCAGGAACTTTTTAGGTTTTATAAGGACAGAAAATAACTTCTGCCTCTGTGA